TAGGACAATTCTAATCTGAACTGAGCTGTGATTATACACTATCTCGTGCGGTCTAAAGACTGATTCGATATTCACTGATATAGAGCCGCGTTATTTCTGATTCGGCGTAGCTTGATGAACTTCCTTATGCTGTTTAATTTAAAATCAACCGTTTTCAGTATTAATAAGCAGTAGTCATGATAAGACGCGTTGCGAATGAAACCATCCATTAAGCGATGCTGGCAATGCGACAGGGAGAATGCCAAAGTGATCGGCGAAAGCAAGTTCGGAAGAGGAGCGATATGAAGAAAGTTTCTTCATATGGAAAAACACGTCGGGACCAGACCGATCATCGACGTAGATCCCCATTGCGCCATCTCGGAAATAATGGGCCTTCCTTATTCAAGCATGTTGTTTCAATCAACGATAAAAAACCAGCCTTGGAGGATATTGTGTGCCTATGCAGCAAGGTTTGAGGAACCAAAGTCGGTAGAATGGGCGATATTAGTATTTCAATCGATAGGGGCGGCACGTTCTGTGACGTTATCGCTACAGGTGCAGATGGAGACAAACCATTCATTTTCAAGCTGTTATCAGAAGACCCCTCCAATTACCCCGATGCACCAACTGAGGCAGTCCGAAGAGTCTTAGAGAAGTACACGGGAAGGAAGATCCCCGTTGGTGAAAAGCTCGATGCTTCAAGAATAGGTAAGCTTGGCAACCGCGGTGCTTTCTTTCTCGGGACTCATAGAGATGGTAGCATCATGCCGTATCGGGACCACGGTTGCAACAAATGCCCTCCTGACGGGGAATGGTGAAAGATTTGCTTTTGCAACTACCAAAGGCTTCAAAGATGTCTGTGTTATTGGTGACCAGTCTCGTCCTGAACTATTCAACCTGGAGATCCGCAAACCAGCCGCCCTGCACTCTGCTGTTGTGGAGATTGATGAGAGAATCACCATAGAGGACTACGATCTGAACCCTCACAAGAAAGCAATAGTCAATACAGAGGGCGATCCGGACTTGGTCAGGACTCCAAGCGGTGAAGTCATTCGAATCCTCAAGAGACCCGATGAAAGAGTCATTCGGCAGCAGCTCGAAGCCCTGCGCAAACAAGGCTACACATCGCTCGCAGTATGCTTCATGCATGCCTACCTCTTTCCAGATCATGAGAGGATAGTAGCTCGGATCGCCAAAGACGTCGGTTTTATATTTGTCACTATCTCCTCTGAGACCAGCCCAGTCATCAACTTTCTCAGAAGAAGCAACTCCACTTGTTCAGAAGCCTACTTGTACCCCATCATCAGACGATATGTCGACAATTTCGAAGCCGGTTTCAGGAGTCCTCCTCAGAGGGTAGACTTCATGTGCTCTGACGGTGGTCTTAAGCAATCTGATAAGTTCCGAGGAAATGAGGCACTCTTGAGCGGACCAGCTGGCGGTGTTGTGGGTACCGCAAAGTGTTTCGACGTTAATGAGGGAACACCTCTTATTGGATTCGACATGGGTGGTACAAGCACTGATGTCTCGAGATATGATGGCAATTACGACTTTCTTCAACAGACGACGATTGCAGGGCGAACTATCAACCTATCCATGCTCAATATTGCAACTGTTGCTGCGGGAGGTGGATCCATCTTGTTTGCCCGGAACGGACTGTTAGCAGTCGGGCCCGAGTCTGCTGGAGCGCACCCTGGTCCTGCATGCTATAGAAAGGGAGGTCCTCTGACGGTTACAGATGCCAATCTGTTCCTTGGACGGCTCGTACTTTCCTCATTCCCTGCCATCTTTGGAGAGTCTGGAGATCAAGAACTGGACATGGAGATCGTGACTCGTAGGTTTGAGCATATCACACAAGACTTCAACAGACAGACGTCTCAGAATCTCACACCCGAGGAGGTAGCGTCAGGCTTCCTGAACATAGCGAACGAGACGATGAGTCGACCTATTCGAAATGCAACAGAAGCTAGAGGCTTCGCTCCGGAGAGCCACGATCTCGTGAGCTTTGGTGGCGCAGGTGGCCAGCATGCCTGCGCTATTGCTGATAAGCTTGGCATAAGACGCGTGATTATACACAAATTGTCATCGTTGCTCTCAGCACATGGTATCGCGCATGCAGAGCTTCAGTGTGAGGTATTCGAGCCGTTTGCAGCCGAGCTCGATGCAAAAGCCATGAAAGGGGTGAAAAAGCTCTTGTCAGCACTGAAGAGCAAGGTAACTGAAGAATTGGTGTCCCAAAAAGCTGCACCGGAAAGCATGGTCTTCGACGAGGCACTTGTGTTGAAGTACTTTGGCACTGACACGAATCTCTCCATCTCTAAGCCAGCTGATGGCGACTATGCCGCAGCGTTCACGGCTATGCATCTGCGAGAATTCGCCTTTTCTATGGAGAGACCTATAATTATCGAGTCTGTTAAAGTTAGGGGTTCGGGAAGCCCCGGCGCACCGAGTCATGAGACGTCAGCATCCGAGGATTTAGCTTCAAGTAAACGGATGGTGTTCTCCGACTATACTAGGAGGCAGAAGGTATACCTTGATGGCTCGTGGCAGGATACAAAAGTTTTCAGACTGTGTGATGTTCCAGAGGGAAGCCTTATCAACGGCCCGGCAATCATCATCGATGAGACACAGACCATCTTGGTTGAATCCCTCTTCAAGGCACATGTTCTGGTCAACTATGTTATGTTGGAAAAGACACTTCTTGAAGAGCGATCGTCCAATCCTTCTATTTCACGAACCTTATCTACACCCCAAGAAACCCTGAGCCCCATTCAACTATCCGTGTTTGCGCACCGTTTCATGGCCATCGCGGAGCAAATGGGCAACACCCTCCAGCGAACGTCCATCTCAAGCAGTATCAAAGAACGTCTCGACTTTTCCTGCGCCATCTTCACCCCTGAGGGTAAACTCGTCGCTAACGCTCCTCATATCCCTATCCACCTCGGAAGCATGCAATTTGCCGTCCAAGCTCAGCACCGCCACTGGAACGGAAAGCTCAAGCCCGGAGACGTTCTGCTAACGAATCATTCCTCTTGGGGTGGGACACATCTCCCTGACTTGACAGTGGTTACACCTGTTTTCGTTGGAAATCGAATTGCTTTCTACGTTGCGTCTCGGGGTCATCATACCGATATTGGTGGTATGGGTATCACCAGTATGATGCCCGAGTCGCGGTCTCTATGGGAGGAAGGTATAATCGTATCCTCCATGAAGATCGTTAGCGGTGGCGAGTTCCTCGAAAGCGAGGTCCGGGCCGCTTTTGAGAAAGTTAGTACTTATCCTGGCTGCAGCGCAACACGCCGTATACAAGACAACATCTCAGACCTCAAAGCACAAACCTCAGCAAACCAACGTGGTATCACCCTCCTTAAAAACCTATGTAATGAGTATTCGCTAGAGGTGGTGCACAAGTACATGATGGGTATTCAAGATAATGCAGAGCTGGCAGTGCGGGAATTCTTTAAGAAACTGGCTCGTGAGCATCCGGATCCTCTTTCAGCGACAGATTACCTGGATGATGGAACTGCCATGAAAGTCAGAATCAGTATCAACAAGGACACAGGCAGTGCGATATATGACTTCGCTGGCTCGGGTCCCCAGGCCTGGGGAAACTATAACTGCCCCATCTCTATCACTCACTCGGCGATTATCTATAGCATAAGATGCTTGGTCAATCTCGACATCCCCTTGAACGAGGGCTGCCTAGCACCATGCGATATTCGCGTGCCTACTGGGTCGATCCTTAATCCCACTCCGACAGTGGCAATCTGTGGCTCAACACTAGCGAGCCAACGGGTGATTGATCTAGTCCTCCGTGCTTTCGGTCGCTTTGGCGCCAGCCAAGGTTGCGCAAATGCTCTCGGCTGGGGTATGGGAGGCAAGAATCTAGTGACGGGTAAAATTGAACCCGGGTGGAATTATGGAGAGTCGATTGGCGGAGGAGTTGGTGCTGGTGAAGGCTACAACGGCGAGAGCGGCGTGCATGTAAGTCCTGCTCTGCATCTTTCGCGCGAATGCTGAGTTGTTAAATCACGGTATTTAGGTTCACTCTACAAACACTCGTCAAACCGATAGTGAAATAATAGAAAAGCGCACTGCCGTCCTTGTACGAAGATATGGCATCCGGAAGGGCAGCGGTGGAAACGGTCGTTGGCGTGGAGGCGATGGCATCGTTCGGGAAATTGAGGCCCGTGCAAATCTCAAGTTCAGCGTCTTGAGTGATCGGCGAGTGTATAGACCTTACGGAATGGCCGGGGGCTATGGCGGCCAACAGGGCAAGAACCTTGCTTTCAAGTTCAACGAGGATCATGAGTTGGAAGCAATTAACCTGGGTGGCAAGGCAATTGTGCATCTTCAGCCTGGAGAGTATATTCAGGTCAATACGCCTGGAGGGGGAGGCTATGGAACGCCAGGCGATGAGGAGGTTGACCACGAGTTTGATAACTTTCATAAGGCCTTTACTTAAAGGGTAAAAGATACATCATCTGGCAATAAGACTTTAGCAGTTTGACTAAAGTTGTAGAGATATGTGTCTCAATTGGCGTTTAAAAAAGCCCTGACTTTAAGCTGGTAATATTAGCCAGTATACCATAAATACAATCTTTATCTTTTATCTAAAGTTGATTAGCCTTTAAGCATAGGTCTTGGCATTTGATAGCCGGGTTATAAATCTGCGCGCCGGTATATGTTATGCTTATCTCGTCGCCTTTAGTTTTTCCCTTCCTCAATAAGCTTTTAATGTTAAGAACCCCGCACTATAGTCCCGCATTGTGCAAGGATTCCTTCTGCTCACGAGTCATCCTCCAGTCATGGCACGAATGGAGCAGAGCGAGTCGATGCTTATCATGAGAAGCAATGAACTAGGCAATAAGTGAGTCTTTCCATCAGGCAAGATTTTCGGCGATCGGGAAAGTATGCCGGTGGCCGATCCTTGACATATAAGGCTTCATGTTCCCCGACAGGCCATTCTCCCTCGTCTTTTGCATCCAGTTCCTTTCTCCTAAAGTTACATCACGATCACGATGGAGTCTAAACATGGAGACAAGCCTGTCTCTCAGCAACGTGTCTCTAAAGACCTTGTAGATGGCGAGATCGTCAAGCCTGGCTATGCACTGGCTGATGATGAGGAGCTCACTATTGCGATGGCCAACTATATCCCTGATACAGCCGAGGAGAGAAGTCTTGTTCGCAAGATTGACTTTACTTTGCTGCCATGCTTATGGTGGATGTATGTCCTTGCATACCTGGATCGTGGAAATATCGTAAGTCTACATGTCAACAGGGACAGAACAAGAGTGACTGACGTGTTGAGGCGAATGCGAATGCGGCTGGGATGAGTGAGAGTCTCAACATGAAGGACAACGGTATGGTTCAAGCTTCAAATATCCAATTACTATATTTCTCACATGCAGACGCCAGACTACTCGCTTCTTGTGTACCTCTTTTTCGTCGGCTACTTCCTCTGCGAAGTCCCCTCCAACATGATCATGAACAAATGCCGCCCGTCAATCTACCTTCCAACCATCGTCTGGGTTTGGGGTTGCATCGTCATTGCCCTCTCACAAGCCAAGAACTACAACGGCTTCCTCGCCGGACGATTCTTCCTCGGCTGTGGCGAAGCTGGTCTCTTCCCGGGTGCCATCTACCTTTTGACGTGCTGGTACACCAAGAAGGAAATTGGTAAGCATTATTTGCTTCTGCGATCTTTGCAATCTACTGACTCTTTGTAGGCAAGCGGTTTTGTATTTTCTACACATCTGGCTGCATTGCTCCGGCTTTGGGTGGTATCATGGCCGGTGCCATCGTCAAAGGTCTCGAAGGAGTCCGGGGTATATCCGGCTGGCGTTGGCTATTCATCGTGGAGGGCGCACTCACAGTGTTCTGTGGTTTCGGGCTATATTTTCTTCTACCGGACTATCCCCGCAACGCCCGCTATTTCTCCCTGGACCAGCGTCGCCTCGCGCAGATTCGCATCCTCGTGGATCGGCAGGTCAGCGTCGGCAGCACAACACGCCGTATGACTTCGTGGCAAGCCTTCAAGGCTGTTGTCACCGATGGGAAGACATGGTTCTTTCTTATTGCATACAGCATCATCATCCTCGGCATGTCCATCTCTTACTTTGTTCCGACCATTCTCAAGACCATGGGCTATACCAAGGTCACTGCGCAGTGGATGACTGTCCCCATCTGGATCACCGGCGCCGTCTGTCAATTGGCTCTGTCATGGACCTCAGACAAGCTCCAAGACAGAAGATGGCATAGTTGCGGTCTTTACGGACTTGCAGCTGTCGCATGCATAATCTCAGCCTTCGTTCACTCTGCCATAGCCAAATATATCATGATGTGCCTGCTTGTCGCTGGCCTCTACACCGGACTCCCTCTCATGCTCAATTGGACCAGCGAGTCGTCCCATTCCCCGACCAGAAGCGCTCCATTGCTATTGCCTTTGTCAACTCATTTGGCCATCTGGCCATCATCTACGGAAGTTATTTGTGGCCCAGCACCAACGCTCCTCAGCACTTGGTCAGGTTTGCTACTCTGACGGCTACTTGCGGCTTCGGATGTGTTATCGCGATTGTTGCGCCATGGTACTTTGGGCTTCTACCCAAGGAGCCTGTCACCAAGGCCGAGCGAGAGCTGGTAGCTCTCCAACAGCAGGATCAGCAACAGGAGTGATGAGTATCCGCAATAGTGAGCACGCCCGGTAGAACGTCAGCACTTACAGGACCTGGCTAGGCAGAGAGTGATCAGATTACTAGACAAATTCATTTCTGGCTTTTGTTAAGTGAGGGTATGTAATTGACTATCATCACACTTTGACTGGTCACAACAACAAGAAAACAGAACCAAAACAAGTGAGAAAGCCCCACAGAGTAATATGTCATTTGGACCAATCAGCGTGCAACACGTCCTGGTCCCGATCTACAAGTAGTGATTACATTTCTACAGTAATGCCGGTGAAGCTTACATCCGCCAAGACTGCAACCCTCGAGCATAAGCTGAAGATCCGAGTCTCTTCTCTCGGATCGACAGCATTTTTTTACTTTCGTAATTCCTTCTTATCCGTGTTCCTTTCTAATCGCGATGGGCCAGCCCCGGTCAACAGAGTGGAGCGAGCTATTTGCGCAAAACCCCTCCTATGAGCCGACCACGTACAAGGCACTCGACAACCTTGCGTCGCATGACGACCTCGCTTTCCTGCATGCCAAGTTCTGGAACGAGATCCGCGACTGGACCCGGAATGACATCACGGATATGTCCCGCATTGTCCACCCAGACCTTGCGGGACCCGGGAGCATTTTCATCGGGGGCATGAACCATGCACTCAACGAAGATACTCTTACGAAGAATGGCATTCAAGCGGTAATTGCTATTCATCCCAAGGACTCGCTGGCATGGGACGAAGAAAACGCTTCCTACGGGCTGCAAAGGTTCTATCCTGACCAGAGCGGCTTGAACAGCAGTGTCGTCAAGCATCCACTCATCATTCCACTCGAGGACAATGCCAACTCTAATCTCATCGACCACTTCGACGAGACTAATGCTTTCATCAAGCTGCATAGCAGCGAGGGGAGGAATATCTTGATCCACTGCAAATCCGGGCGCTCACGCTCTGTCGCAGTGCTGATTGCATATCTGCAACAAAAGTTCTGCTCCGAGAATGGCATCGCGTCCATGGAGGATAAGACTGCGGCGAAAGAGCAGTTGCGGATGAACCGTGAGGAGATCACAGAGGCGATCCGTGCGCAGCGTCTCCCTGTCGTTGTCATAATGGAACGTTTTGATGAACTGTTGGCGCGGTACGACCTTAAACTCATTGAGGATCCAGAGTACAGGAGCCAGAAGGCTGACAGGCTTCCCGCCTCTGAGATCATGGAATCTAAGGCTCCCAAGGCAAACAAACAGCCAGAGTTTGTAGCAAAGAGGGAGAGTAAGCTTGTGCAGACAAAGGGAGGCGCGGCAGTGCTCAAGTTATGTGTTGCTGCAGCTTTCTTCAAAACCAACCAGAAGCCAACGGAAGCAGTGGTGCATCAATTTTTCGAAGTCAATGAGGCCTATTTCTATGAGTTGGGAGCGTTAGAGTACAATGGAAGGTCTTATGTTGACTCTAAACATGCATGTCTCGGTCTCGTGGAATTTTGCTTCAGGTACGCTAAAGATGAGTATGGTCTCATGCTACCACCCAATATAGAGGAGCATGTTAGAAAGGTTATAACACAATAGAATTACAGTTCAAATCTGAAAGATCGTCTAGCGCGTAGTCTAAACGATTTTAAACTTTTATGGTTAACAGATAATTTCACCACTAAAGAGACCGCCGTCAAATATCGGAGGTTGATGTCATACCGTCTTCACCATCCGCCCTGAACATAATAAGATAATAAGGTAGAAATATTTTCAAAATGCGCAATAAATATCAGCTTCACGTCTAGAGCTGGCAAGATGGAAGGACTTCGACCGCCGGGAAACAGCCCGACTCACATGCATGAATCTGACGCTGTCCAAGGAAAGGCACTCAAGGCTACTACTGATGCACAAATTTGCGGCTACTTTTCTGACAATCCAGGTAAGCACCTGCAAATATGGCTGGAGTACGGAATCAGACTCACTAACTGGTGCCATTTACAACTGGAAAGACTACACAGCAGCCTGCGCTCCCCCATCCACCTGCAGTACTCCCAGCGGCGGCAAGTCATGGGGCTGTTGCGATGAGACAAGCTGTTACATCCCTGCTACATGTGAGGATGCTTCAGCTCCCGATTGTGGAGGCACTGCTGCTTCACTCTGTCCTTATTATCCCATCATGAAATGGTAAGACTGCTTCTGATTCGATATCCGAGATTGACCACTACTTTCAGCACATACGGAGCCTCATCGCGGTGCGTCTACTTTATTTATCAAACTGCGGCCGACGACCACACTAAGATTACGTCCTGGGGTTGCGATACAACACCGACGACATATATCATCGGACCGCTGCAAGCTGAGGAAACTTCATCCACAACAGCAGCCGCGGATGACGAAAAAGACTCGAGCTCTGGTCTTTCAAAAGATGCTACGATTATTCTCGCCGTGGTTCTCCCCGTTGTAGGGTTGGGGGTTGTTATAGCTGCAGTCATGTTATTCCTCCGCCGACGGAAGAAGAGAGTAGCTAACGGGCCTAAGCGAGTAGGCGGGGGAGCAAGATCTGAGATGGAGCAGACTACGGAACGTGCGCCCGTCCCTGAAATACCGCCGTATGAGATGGGTGACAACATCTTGCGGCCTGAATTAGACAGCCGCGAGGTCCGTCAGTGATGAATTAGTTGGCAACATTGCATCCCGCGGAAAGGAAACCCGCAACGGGAAATACTGATGCCACTAAGCCCAAGTCAACAAGTAAATGGAGACAAGAGATATGGAATTGCAACACCATCATGATGTCTCCACCTAAACAGTGTGAAGATATAACGTCCATGATAAGCGAGTGTTACAAACACGTGAGTGTTACAAAAATCCCTCAACCTACAACATGTCTACGTCGTCAACTGTTTCTTCACCACCCAATATGCCTGAATTCAATAGTGAAGCTAATGTTATTCTCGCACTTCGTGCCCTTAAAAATGACCGAAAATTAACTCTCCGACGCGCCGCAAAGATCTATGAGGTTGATCCAATGAGACTATGGCGCCGACAGCA